GCATCATCTTCTTTACTCAAGAACATCACATGTGTTCTATTCAAATTAATTTTTGTAACTCTACTAGATATCCTTATAAAGACTACCTAAAATATCCATAAAACTTAGTACCTAATTTGACAATTTTTATTTTCAGACTTAACCCAAATAGCATATTTAAAGCTTGGACTTTGAGGTTGGCGAATAATGCTAATACATACTTATTTTCTGACTATTCTAAACAAAAGCTGAAATCTCCCACCACTACCAAAGGGAAGAAGAAAATTTAGAAAACTAAAAACTGCAACATTCCTCTTTATGCATGCATGTATTTATTGATCCTTTAAAAGTCTACACTTTATAATTGATGATATTAGGCAAATACTATGGTGGCTTATAATTTTGTCTACTTAGTAATATCTGAATGTGAATTATCCTTTTTTATGTTCAGCAGTTTTGAATTTCACATTGGTATCTTCCGGCTACTCATCTTGCTTAGGGTTTTTGGTACTGTGAAAGATTGTGAAGTAGACCTTATAAAAATGAGCTCAAAGAAAAGTCAGTAAAGGAGATATCCTCATGAAATTAGAACAAGTATAGTTTGGCAAGTAGAGTTGTTTGTGATAACCTCTGTTTTAGATTGTCTGCCAATCCAAGAATTGAGAGAACAAGACAGCATAAACTGAGATTTAATGAAGACTACTATTTCTCATAGTTATGGTATTAGCTATTTTTGAGTTTTGAGAGTGTTCAGTAGCAAACTTTTTGAACTTTTTGTAATTATGGGAATAATGTATGAGAACTGCTTAGACAGCATCTGTTTCTATTTTTAGACTGGGCTGGCTTGGATGAAGATGAAGATGCACATGTATGGGAGGATAATTGGGATGATGACAATGTTGAGGATGACTTTTCCAATCAGTTACGGTAAGCTTTAAAGCAGAGTTTTCTGGAGCTCAGTATTAGTTATAAGCATGGAATGTGTGATTTGCATAGATAATTACCTCTTAAAAGATACTTAATCTTTGAAATAGGTTTTGAATTACGTGAAGTAAGACATACTGCCTTTACATCCTGTGTTTTTCTAAGCATGAAAACTCTATGTAATTGCATGCAACTTTTGTTCTTTTTTTTTTTAAGGCAATTAAATAGAAGCATGCTGGCTGTTTTTTATCCATTTGGGTTTAATTCGGTCAGTATTAATTTTCTACTAATATTGAACAACTCGTCAGAAATTAGTCATAGAATGGTGGGACCCAATAGATTGGTGATTCTCAAACCAGGATGAAGATTGGGGTTGTGGAAGTGTACTTTTTCATATTTGTTTATAACTATACCTAATTTTATTTATCTTGTTAAAATTCATAGAACAAGATTAACCGTTTTAAGTGTACAATTCAGTGGCATCTCAATATTATGCAGCCATCGTCTCTATTTCTAATATTTTCAATATCCCTTAAGTAAACACAGTATCCATTAAGCAGTCACTCCATGTTCCCCTTCCCCTAACCTCAGGCAACTGCTAATCTGCTGTCTGCCTCTAGGGATTTGCCTGTTTCAGATGTCTCATATAAACAGAATCGACAGTATGTGACCTTGTATGTCTGCCTTCTTTCATTTATGTTTTCCAGGCTCATTAATGTTGTAGCATGTACTTCATTCCTTTTTATGGCTAAATAGTACTCCATTGTATGGATATTCCATATTTTATTTATGCATTCATCAGTTGATAGACATTAGGACTCTTTCCACCTTTTCACTATTGTGAATATTGCTGCTATAAACATGCATATACATGTATTTGTCTGAGTACCTGTTTCCAGTTCTTTTGAGTTCATACCCAGAAGTGAAATTGTTGAGTCATATGATAATTTCATATTATACTTTTTGAGAAAGTACCAAACTGTTTTCTACAGTGCCTGAACAATTTTATATTCCTACTAGCAATATGTGAAAGCTCCAGTTTCTCCACCTCCCTGCCAAAACTTTTTTTTTTTTCATTTTTTATTATAGCTTTTCTACAAGTGAAGGATATGAAGTGGTATCTCTTTGTGGTTTTGGTTTGCATTTCTCTAATGACTTTTCAGGTGTTGGCCATTTGTATATCTTCTTTGGAGAACTGTGTGTTTAAGTCCTTACCCATTTATAAATTGAGTTGTCTTTGTTGTTGAGTCATAAAATTCTTTACGTAGTCTGGGCACTAGACCTTTATTATTATTAGATAGGTGATTTGCAAAATTTTTCTCCCATTCTGTTAGTGTCCTTTGCACAAAAGCTTTGAATTTTGTTGAAGTTCAGTTTATCTTTTTGTTGTTGTTACTTGTACTTTTGGTGGCTCACTTAAGAATTAATTGCCATATTCAAGGTAATGAAGGTTTATTGCTGTGTTTTCTTCTAAGAGTTTTATAGTTTTATTTCTTACATGTAGTCTTTGATTCATTTTGAGTCAGTGTTTGTATATTTGTGAATTATTTTGGAGGTAGATATCTACTTGTCCCAGCAACTTTTGATAAAGAGATTTCTTTGCCTCCTAATTTTATGTTGATTCAGCCCATAGTTATCTGTTTTGGTCATAAGGATATTTAAGTAGACTGCTACATACTTTGCTCGAATAAAGATACAGAAGGTTTGTTCCAATCTTCTGCTAGTCCAGTACACTTGCTCAAAAAGGAAGTGAGATAATTTAAATACATTTTAAAAATTTGATTTTTAATAATAATACAATAGCACGTGTTCCTATATTGCATTTTTTAATGGACTCAAAACCCTCTACATTCTAAAGACTTACTAGAAATTTGCTGGAAACTAAAAATAATTTTACCCATCTGCTTTCTCTCCTTTTGAGAAACAGTGCAGTTCACCTTTCACTGTTATTCTGATGCAGTATACACTTTTTCATTTCCATTTCTCAGAGATTGTGGGCTTTGATTTTTGACTCTATCTTTTGGTTCTTTCTGTACCCTGAGATGTGATTATTCAGAGCCTTGAAACTTTAAATTGCTTTAATACAGATCAGAATTATCTTACCTGTGTTAGTTTTGTCTTAATGATTTTTAAAATGGTTTTATGGACGAGATAAGAATAATAGCTGTTGAAAAATAATCCTACCTTTTTCTCTAAAATCTGTTAATATTACATCATCTGCTCCAAGCATTGAACCTGTTTTTTTCATTCTTCTTAATCAGTATATGGTCCCCAACAACTCATTTTGGTTTTTTTACACATCTCAGTTTATTCTGGGATTAAATTAATTCTGTGTGTACAAGTTCATGCGCTTTCTTTTTGCATTTATCTTTGGTTTATATTCTTTAGAAACAGAGCCACATCAGAAAACACTCTTTTACCTTTTAAAAGCTGTGCATCCCCTTTTCTTCTTCATTGGAATCATATTATGCTGTTAGAATATTTATTTTCAGGCCTTCCAGTGCTGTTGATTTCTGTTTTGTGTTCTTAGTCATATATCAGGGTTTTTTTCCTAATATATTTTTGACAATTTGAAAGTTGAGTCTAAATAAGTTTTCTTCCTTTGCCATTCAGAAGAGTCAGATTTCTGTAAAGTTTTGTTTCTCTCGTGACTTTCATTTAAGCACTTTTCTCTTAAAATTAATCAGTGCATTATTGAATACTGTAATTTTTATCAGAAGACTTTCAGTAATATGTTGATAGTCTCCTCACTTCTACATCTTGCTTTTTCACTAGTTTAGAAATAGACTATTCTCTGTGATCTTTGTGGCTTACTGCTTTTATAATACACCTTCACAATGCTCTCATGTTCTCTGTTGTTTTTCTGCCTTTAAGTTTGTAGATTTCTATAAGTGTGTAAATCTTGATACCTCCATTAGTGAATAGTCTTTTTCTTTTTATTTCCCTACTTGAGTCATCATGAAATTTTTCCCACTAAGGTTGTGGCTATGTTGTCAGTGCCACCAAGCAGGACTTACTGTAGTGATGAAAATGTTCTAGAAACTGCGCTATGCAGTACAGAAACTGTTAAACATGGGTGGCTGTTGAGTGGATGAAATGTGACTTGTGCATCTAAGGAAGTATATTTTTTGTTTTATTTAATTAAAATAGCCATATGTGGCTATCATATTGAATAACAGCCCCAGACAATTCTTACTTTAAAAGTGTCTTGAGTAACAAGACTCACGCAAAGATGTTCTTCCTAGACTTTTTCGTGAACTGCATGGAGACCCTTAGTATAGTGTCATAGCCACAGGGAAGAGTGTGCTTTATCATTTTCTGATGTTGTTGGGTCCCAATCCCATCTAACTCAAAAAGGCCGCTCATACACTCAGCAGTCACATTGCCTGGGCTCCGTCCCCATCTATCTCTTGTTTAGCTATCCAGACCTTGGACAAGTCCCTTCATCTTCCTATAACTTAATTTTCTCACACATAAAATGCAGATGATAATTAGTACTTTACTCCCTGGTTATGAGAAGGGTTAAATGAGTTAATATATGTGAAGTGCTTAAAATATAGTGAGTGTGTGTGAAGCAAATAAAAACTCTCCATGTAGTGGGCTACCCACTTCCCATGTTCCTCTTTCTTTTTCAGTGTAATTATCTGTAACTCATCGAAAGAAAGAGTAAGGCCACTGTGTTGCCAGGTAGCACTGTTACTGCTTTTACTGCTTCTGATATCATTTGTTTCTCTTCATATCAGGAAAAATAGGTAGCATTATGGTGTTCTTGAGCCAGTATCACATCTAAACAAGTCAGCATAGTTCCTGATCTACTGTGTCAGATGTAGTCACTGTGATAAAGCTGAGTAGCTTCTTGGATAGTGACAGGAATTCTCACACCTACTAGGGCCTGTGAGTCTTTTCTTGTTTTGTTGCAAAGGGATGCTGCTGCTCTTGTTTTACTTGGTACTCATGAGCCAAGTGTGCCTGGGTGTCTTCCAGTGGGCTGAGTTCTTCCCTTTCTCTCGTCCTTGTTGGATTTTCCCTTCAGCAGCCTCATGATATTTGTGTTTTCATTTTGTACTTAGTGGCCTCGATTTTTTTTTTTCTTTTGGTTCCTTATTCTTCTTAAACTCTAGCAAAGAACTTTTTGATTTTCTCTAGGAATTTAGCTGATGGAGGAGCATTTCATCATCTCTCTTGTGTTCATAAACAATTTATATGTGTAATTGTTGACCATCAGGATGGAAATAGACAAATCCCGAAGGACTGATTTGGTGGACTTGGTACTTAATCATTGATTGAACTTTCTTTCCTTTCCTTTTATTTTTTTGCTGTTGTTAAAATAAGAAAAAGTGAATAATCTACAGTGATTTTGTAAAATAAAATAGAAAACTAATGTTTAGGTTTTTAAATTATTTCCATTTTAAATAGTAAGAGTTTAAAATTTTAACATGAGGTAAAATTAAAAGACAATTACTACATTCCCTAAAGATTGATAACAAGGTTTGTAGGAAACATATGAGGAGTTTTCTGTGATCATTGAAAATAGAAGCTTTTAGCTTTTTTCTTCAGCCTTGGTTCTTATTTTGATGTATGCTACATTACATTTCTATAACTTTCTCTCATTTAGCTCTCAAAACAAAGGAGATAAATTATTGTATATGAAAGACAGAGGTTATAAATCTTCCAATTTTCTGAGGAGAGGGAAGGAGCCCAAAGAAAGCAACTTAATTAGCAAAAACAAGGCCGAGGCAGAGATTTGGACTGGACTGGAGTCCTAACCCAGCACTTGTACCTCCAGCCTGTCTACACCCTAGCAGAAGACCAAGATGACTCTGAATAATCTCTGACCTTGATACAATTCATGGAAATTAAGTCACTATTTGTATTATAAATAAAAATTTTTGAGAAGTAAAGGAGTTTAGGGAAATAACTGATACATATTATACACCTGTCCTGCTTTATGTTTGCACTGGGTAGTGTGGTGGTGTCTAAGCCAAATTATACTTGAGAACAAATGTCTTTTTATCTTATTTTTATCTTTTATATTTAGTCAATGTTTTAATCATAAATTAGCCCTTTAATCATTTTGCCATGAGCTTTATAAAATCTTATAATGTTTGTGTGTTTATACCAGTATAAACTTGAGAGTTTCACCCACATTTAAAATTAGGAAAGTCTTGTTTAATATTTTATGACATATATTTATTTTGCCTGTATTGTTGATGCAGAAAATTTTCATACACCTTTAAATTTGATTAATAGTTTTTTCTTGGTTAGAGCAATATATATATGTCAGTATGCCAAGCAATCTGTTTTTTCTGTCTGTATATGTAACAGTAATGCCTGTTATGATGATTATAAAATCCCCAAAGGTTTGATAGTGATGTCTTATGTACTTAGTCCAAGATTGAGTCTCAAAATTTGTTTAAATATTTATTAGGAACAGAACATTTGTATGATATCTGGAAGCTTTTTGGAGGATAGCAGTAAGTCCCTCACATTTCTTCCATAAGTAGATTTCTTGGAAAGTTAAGGGAGGTAAAATGTATTAGCTAATGAGAAAAACACAATTTTGTTAATATCTTATTGACACATCCAATTTTATGTGTATTTGGATTTCTTCTTGGGGACTAAAATAAAGGTATTCAGTGGTATTTTAAACTGTTTGTATCAGGCTTAGTTCATTTATTTATGAGTAGTATTATTTCTTTAAAAATTTTGTTTTTAAATTTATTATAAAGAATTCCTAGTAATGTTATTCTTTGTGTTTTATTACAGAGCTGAACTAGAGAAACATGGTTATAAGATGGAGACTTCATAGCATCCAGAAGAAGCGTTGAAGTAACCTAAACTTGAACTGTTTACTAAATTCTTGGACAGAGAGCCCAGGATGGGACTCCTTAGAAAACATGTTTATCTCATTTTCTGCTTGTTTATTTTTGTTTTTGTAACACAAAAAATAAATGTTTTGATCTAAACCTGGCTTGGTTCAGAAGTCTTAATCCTCTGCCTCTAATCATTAATTTTCTTGTCATGATTTTTCAGAACCTTACTATATAGAGACAGTGGAATTCATATTATGGAACTTTATTTTTAAAGTTAACTGAGGCTCAGGTTAAATGATTTGGGGTTTGAATTCACCAGATTCCCCAGTCAGTACTTTCCTTCAACCACATTAATTAAATGTTAGTTCTGTTTTACAAGGTATTTCTTTTACTCAGATTGAACCTTAATCTCATCTGTATTTTGATAGCTTAGTCTATCAAACTGTATTTGCTGACATTTGTAAGGCGACCTTTCAAAACCTGTGTTTTAAAAATATTAATCATTTTAAATTGCTGTAATTTACTTAGTACTTGAACCATTAATAATATTAATGGTTGATAGAATATTAATAGTACTTAAGGTCCAAGGTAGTTTGATCATAGTGCTAAGAAAAGTGTCTTCTGTTAAAATTGGGGGAGTGGGCTCATGATACCTACCAACAAGTTCATAGTCTCAGGTACCACATAGCAGGTTCATTTAGTGCAACTAAATTTCTGCAGTGACAGCTGTTGTCATGTCTACTTTTGTGAATGGGAGATTTAATTTGGTTTGTAAAGGTTTCTTTGTGATGATTTAGAATGGAGCTCATGTGCATCAGGAATGATTTCAAGTATAAGTCTGTTACTTATTAAAAAGTAGAATCATCAGTGCTGTTGAACAATTCCAAATGTATGTAGTATGGTGCAGTATACATACCACATACGAGCACATTTATTTTGAACATAAACATGTTTCTTCTACTAAAACAAGTATAGACCTGCCTGGCAGAACTGCATATGGTCACATAGAACAGCATGAAATAAAGTAGAAAAGCTTCGACTGAGTAAGTGATATTTGTGTAAATACAGTGAAGTATGGCAGCTGTGTTTGGGCTGTAACATGCTGAGAAATATCTTAATGTATATTTTCTCACTATTTTGGTCAGTGGTTACAGGCTTACTATCAGAACTCCTATCGTTGGTCCCCTTAACAGCGTCAGGACCAAGAATGATGGCTACCTAATGTGACTTGAGTTCCAAATACTGAGGAATAATTGTGAAGCCTCATAGAGGAATTGGGCACAGGGTTTAATGTGTTATTTGTAGTTGTCCAGAGTGGTTTGTCCTTAATTAAATACAGACTTTACATAGTTTTCTTTTTTAAAGATGGTCACTGAAAATTGGTATTCAGCATCAGGATGATGAAGCACCTCAGAGGGTATGAGACTGATGGGTAGCTGAAAAAAATATTTCATGGAATTTTATAACTTATAGATTTCCTTCTTTTGAACTTCACAATGACCCACCCTGTGAAGTAGGCAGAAGGGGCCTGTATAATGTAAACATTCTATCAGATAGAAAACAGTCTCACAGTAAGTCAGAAAGTGAAAGGACCCAGGGTTGCAGTAGCTGACAGGTAGCAAATGTGGAGCTAGATGCCAGGCCTCTCAGCTGGTTTCCTATGGGTTGTGGAAGGTGTATGAGTTCTGATGCTATTTCAAGGCTTGATTCATAACTGGCATATACTCACTCAGATAATGCACATATCAGCTGTGTGTTGTCTTCAGCAAGTTGCAGAATAGCTTGGTTAGAGTTTTCCTGTTTTGTAGAATGGAAAGGCTACCTGCAGTGTTGACCAGAACATGAAGTAGCATGTGATGCTCAGTCCAATGGTATAGATCAGTACGTGTCCTTTCTTGCCTTACTGAGCCATGCTGCTTCCTTGCCTCCCCTTGGTATGTGAAAGTGTCCTTACCTCTCCTTAGTAATGCTTATATAGTGCTCACTACATCCCAGACATTGCTCTCAGCTACTTATGTCTTAATCCAATCTTTACAACAACCCTGAGAGGGTCGTATCATCTGCATTTCACAAATGAAACTGAAGCACTATGATGGGGAGTAATTTGCCCATAGTCACTCAGCTAGAAAGTGGTTAAAAAAAAAAACACTTGGAGAAAAGGGACTATTTTATACAACATTAAATTTGTCTTTCAGCAGCACCTAATTCAGTCTCTCACACATGCTCCTTACATTTTAGTTGAGTGGATACATGGAGAAAGGAAGTTCATTGCTAATTTGCTCCATGGTAGAAGTTTTTATTGATGCAGACATAAGTGTTTATTTTAGTGATGACTCCCCTCCTTTCCCCTGTAATTTTTTGTTAATTCCCAATCTTTTTTCATAATTCAATTTCATATGAATTCCAAGTGTGGATGTAAAAATGGCCATTTTTCATTGGCCTTTGGCTTAGAATTGCCTTGAGATGCCATGTCCCTTATACAGTACCCACTCAGTGTTTAATCTAGAAGACTCTCATGAGCCACTCTCTTTCAAAAGATTGTATGTGTGGCATATTAATATTGCCTTGCTTTTTTGCTTGTGGTCTGTGCTGAATTTTTAAAAAGATACTCATATCCTTTCTGTCCCACATTTCTCAAGTTGAGAGAGAAAGAACATAGCCCACCCTTTTGGCGGAGAGCTGACAATTTGCACTACTCTCAGCCCACCCACACGGATGGCCCTGGGGAACTGGCCTTGGACCCTCCAGCTACCTTAAGGTGCCTCCTCCACTTCTGAATCTTGGCTTGGGTCTAGACTCCATCTGAGCTTATTTCTTGCTCTGACCATACATCCTCCTTGGTAATTTCGTCCAGACTCAGCTGCTTTAAGAAAGTCCTATATGTGTGGTTTCAAATCTTTCTTCTCAGTTTTAATCTAAAACTGTAAACTTGCATACTGAGCTAACAGCGTGATTGTCCCTCCATGTCTGAGTATCTCCAAGTTACTTGGTGAAAACAAGTCTTCACGATCCTTCTCACACTTGATCTTTCCTACAGTGTTCCCTTCTCAGTAAATACACCCACCTCGTCTACCCAGTTGTTGAAACTAACAGTACAAAAACTGTCATGGATTCTTCTCCCAGGATCCCGTCCATGGGCAAGCCCTGCCAGCTCTGCTTCCAAAGCACATTTCATGCTGTTGGTACGACTGTTTGCCAACTCTCTTTCCCCTTCCCTTTTCCTGATAAATCCTCATTTCTCCCTCCAGTTCCTATCACTCTTTCACATGGGCAGTGTGACTTAAGGCCGGTCCATGTGATTACCAGCTCAGGGTGGGCCCTGGTGCTTCTTAAGCCAGTCATAACCCCATCCCCCTTACTAGTGACTGAATAAGAGATTGTTTTGAGACAATGGAATAAAAAAGGGACTGGGGGCATGTGGCAGAGAGAAATTGTGCCTCATAAGATAGCCACATGCAACCAGCCTCTGCCTCTGGATATAAATAAGGGAGCATCTGGTCTCAGCTGCCAGTAATGGCATCCAGTAGCCATTCCGGTTGGAGGGTGAAGATGACTAGGAGGTCTGGTAGGCCATGGTTCTTTGCTGATCTCCCAGTGGGGCACAGAACATTTGAAACTAAATTATCATCTTTACCTGGGCCAGCACACCTGTTTACAATGTAACACTTTCTCCTTTTAGTCATTGTTTCTGTTGTTTATTATGTTTATTAATGGTTTCCTGTTTAAGACTGAATTCCTTCAAATGAGAACCACTCTTGGATGCATCTTTACATACCTGTAGTAGGGGTTCTTTCAGAAGCAGACTTGGACTAGAGATAATGTGGAGAGCGTGGCCTGAGCCAAGATGGCGCCCGGGACCTCTGCCAAGTCCCATGATTAGGCGCATGATATACCGCCGGGCCCTCCTTCACTGCGCACCGCGCAAGTGCAACGCTGCAGAGCCTATGAACTGCTGACACGCTGGTACGGGACTTGTGGGTGGAGACCAAGGGATATAAGTACGGGACAACGGGGAAGAAGGAGGAAGAAGCTGGCATGGTGTAAAGGCTGAATAAAGCGCTTTGAGAAGAACACGTTGTTGTTGCCTCCTTCCTGCTGGTCAGGGGTGAGTGACACAGACTACCTACCAAGGAAGACCAATTAGAATAGCAGCAGATTTATCTACAGAAACACTCCAGGCTAGGAGAGCTTGAAGCCCTATCTTCAAAGTTCTAAAAGATAAATAATTTCAACTGAGAATAACCTACCCAGCCAAACTAAGCTTCATCAGTGAGGGAGAATTGAAATCATTCCCAGACATCTAATCCCTAAGAGCCTATGCTGCCACGAGACCACCTCTACAAGAAACACTTAAGAAAGTATTGAACACAGAAGAAAAGGAAAAAAGAACAACAACGTTCTTCATGAGAGTACAGGCAAAAGATTAAAAACACACATGAACCGATTCTAAAACTAAAAGAAAGACAACTCACAAACAGGAAGAAAAACAACAACTCTGTAAGAACATTATGACATGGATCAACTCTCACATTTCAATAATTAGCTTGAATGTGAACAGACTAAATACACCACTGAAAAGACATAGAATGGCAAAATGGATAAAATATCACCAGGCAAAAATCTATTGTCTTCAAGAGACTCACCTCACTAGAAAGGACACTCACAGACTCAAAGTAAGAGGATGGGAAACAAATTTTCAGGTGAACAGAACACAAAAGAAAGGAGGAGTCGTGATCTTTATCTCAGACAAAACATCCTTTAAGCCATAAAAATTAAAAAAGATACAGAAGGCCACTACATACTGATAAAAGGTTCAATCCATCAACAAGAAATATCCATCCTAAACATATATGCACCCACATAGGAGCACCAACTTTCATAAAGCAGCTTCTAGGTAAACTAAAAAAAGATATCAACTCCAACACCATCATAGCAGGGGCCTTCAATACCCCACTCACAATCCTAGACAGATCATCAGGACAAAAAGTCAGCAACGAGATCCGTAACCTCAATGTGACTCTTGACCAAATGGACTTAATTGATACCTACAGAACACTCCATCCAAAGACCACAGAATATACATTCTACTTATCACTGCAAGGAATGTACTCTAAGATTGACCACATACTTGGCCATAAATCAAGCATAAGCAA